CCCCCCCCCATCGCGGTCAGTGATGGGGCACTCGGGACCCCCACTCCCAAGTTACCTCACGTGGGACCCCCGGTGGGGAGCTCGTGGGATTGGGCACCCACTGTGCACCCCTGGTACTCGAGTAGGGCCCCCCCGAGCACAGGCACCCCCATCCCCCCATAGAAAGTCACCCTGCGCACCCCTATGGGACCCCCAAACCTCACACACCCCCTAAACGCCCCCCAATATTGGGCCACTCCAGCCACCTCCAGACTCTCATAGGCACCCCCTGCTTAAAGCCACTCCTACGGGACCCCCAAATCCCTTCTGAGCACCCCGAGCTCCCCCCCCGCCCCCCATGTCGGGGTCCCACCTGCGCTGTGCGATGCCACGTTGGGGGGATCAATGGGCGCCGCCGCTCCTCCACCGCCAAACGCCGGAGCTGCGCTGCTGTGGGGCTGCCCCCCAACTCGGCCTCATAAGCCAGGCGGAACTCCGGCACCGGAACGCCTGGGTGGGGGGAGGAGGGGAGGTGAGGGGGGGAGGAGGAGCTCAGCGGGGTCGGTGGCATTGATGGGACGTGGGGGCGGCTCACGGGGCTTTGGGGTTTTGGGGGTGGGCGCTCACCGGGGCTGAGGGTCTGACAGCGTGACAGGATCTCCCAGAGCAGCAGCGCCAAGGCGTAGACATCAGCCTGCAGCAGCGCGCGGCCCCAGGAACGCAGGTCCAGACTCTCATCCAGGATCTCCGGGGCCAAATAGCGCTGGGTGCCCGCCTGCACCCACACCGTGCTTACAGCAGGGCCGAGCTTATAAGAGCACTGAGCTTACAGCAGGGCTGTGCTTATAACAGCACTGAGCTTACAGCAGGGCCGAGCTTACACCAAAGCCAAGTTTGCACCAGAGCTGTGCTTACACCAGGGTCTTTTTTGCATCAGGGCCCTATTTTCACCAAAGCCATGCTTGCACCAAAGCTATGTTTGCACCAAAGCTATGTTTGCACCAAAGCCATGCTTGCACCAAAGCTATGTTTGCACCAAAGCTATGTTTGCACCAAAGCCATGCTTGCACCAAAGCTATGTTTGCACCAAAGCTATGCTTGCAGTAGGGCCATTCTTGCATTAGGGCTGTGCTTACAACAGGAGTAAGATTACACTGGGGCAGGGGCCATGCTTGCACCAATGCCGTACTTGCACCAGGGCCATGCTTGCTCCAAAGCAATGCTGACACCACAGCCATGCTGACACCACAGCCATGCTCACCCCACGGCCACGCTCACCCCACAGCCATGCTCACACCACAGCCACGCTCAC